GAGAATCTCATAACCCTAAACCCTAAACTCTCAACCCTAAATGACGGTAGTCTAGTGCAGAAGCGTTGGGTTTTCTAGGCATTGGGTAGAACTACGGCTCTGGAGCCCCAGAGAACTGAAGCCCCCCCCTGGAACCGAAAAGGCTGACACACCTGAACCCTAAACCCTGAACGGTTTGGGGTTTAGGGTTTAGGGTTTAGGGTTTAGGGTTTATCAACTCCCAAACCCTAAACCCTAAACCTGAACCCGGAGCCCTTTCGGGAAGGGAGGGTGGCAGATGGATCCGATGGATCCCTCGACCGAGTCTTGCTCTGTATGATTTCCTTTGGGCGCTCTTGCTGTGACAAGGTTTTATAAGGATTTCGGGCCAACTCATACCCTCCTAGGCAGTTCCCTCTTGTTTTGTTTCTCTTGGGAATTACCTGGTGTTTAGTATAGCTTCATATCCATAAACCCTAAACCCTAAACCCTCCTAGACCCTAAACCCTAAACCCTAAACCCTAAACCGGTTGCCCCAACAGGGCATGCATGGACGAACACGGGTAGGCCCTACAAGGCACACCCACAAAGCTTCCCGAGACTTTCGGCATTGGGTTTAGGGTTTAGGGTTTAGGGTTTAGGGTATTCCATAACCCTCCATTCATGCGCACCGGCCAGGGCTAAGGCAGTTTTTGTTAGCATTTTTTTTGGGGTCTCCTCTACAATTCATGTCGCATTTGTTTTTAGGATTTCGATTTCTGGTAATGGTCAGTTTAATCGAGGATAAGCGGCCGAAGATATCTTATGACTACAGGCCTCAGGCATGGCTGGTTGTCAACAGAAGGAGTACAGAACGAAGGAAGAACCCTAAAACCCAAAACCCAAAACCCAAAACCCTAAACCCAAATCTTCGACGAGAAGGAGTACAGAACGAAGGAAGAACCCTAAACCCAAAAAACCCTAAACCCTAAACCCTAAACCCAAGTCTTCGACGTGAAGGGTGTTAAGTCTTCGGAGTTGCCTCGAAGTATTCAACGGTTTAGGGTTTAGGGTTTAGGGTTCAAGGTTTGGTGTCGAAGCCTTCGGTCCCTATTAGCATCCCTAAAGCCTTAGAGAAACTCTCTAAGCCGCCCGAAACCCTCCTATCCCAACCCCCCCTCCCCGCCTCCTAAATAATTGAAAACAGCTCTGGCACTACACTTACCGCTGCATCCTCCAAAAGTACTACTACTGTATTATTGCTACATTTCTATGTCATACACAGATGTAGAAACGCAGTGCGGACGCGATGGGCGAATGCCTTCAGAGTACTCGCGCACACACTGGAGTACGCTCGTGTATGCTCGAGTACGCTCGAGTACGCTCGAGTATGCTCGAGTGCAGGTGGTGCCTTAGATAGCTGAGTAGTAGTAGTAGTAGTAGTAGTAGTAGTAGTAGTAGTAGTTGTAGTAGTAGTAGTAGTAGTAGTAGCAGTAGTACTAGTAAGTATTATTGTTAGTATTAGTAGTAGTCGTCGTAGGCGCAGTCGTATTAGCATGTTCGTCGCTACTAAGTCGCATCATCTCAAAGTGCGAAAATGACGAAGCGAAACCTCAGCAGCACTTTAGAGAAGCCTTTTGGCTGATCCCAAAGTCGCAGGGCAAGCAGGGTTTAGGGTTTCGGGTTTAGGGCGGCCGTGGAACAAGATCCAAGGCAAACGTCTCGAGCAGCTGCTATGCGTGAGCTTCGATGACTTGCAACGCTTGCATGGGAGGCCTGAGCCCGAGGATGCTGTGGATCTGTGCTAGGTCAGAAGGCCCGCCGATGTCGGAACTGACCAGTTGCGATTTTGCATAAATCTCCGAAACCGCAATAGCGCACCGTGACAGAACAGAATTTTGTTCTACAGCTGATTAAATCGGACGAAGCTCCATGACCTAAGACCGAAATCACTGATCCTGTATGGCGGGTTGTCCTGTTGAGGACGCTGTTAGCCTGGAGATTCATGCTGATGAAAATGCCTCGTGCAGTCTGCTACGAAGACTTCACCAAGGGCCACATAAATGCAGCTTTGTCGCCTGCCATCCCAAGTTGAAGGGATCGGCAAGCGGCACGGCATGATTCTTTTTAATACGTCATTTGATGCTTTCCATAACCGCTCTATTGCATGCAACGAGATCGGTTCCCCGAGCTGGGCCAGCTTGATGTTTTGATATTTCAGTACCCGGGTGTAGAGGATATTATTTACGAGTATTGTTCAGAGGTTTGGGGCGGCCAGCCCACGATCTATGCTTTTTTTTAACGCTTTATACCAGTAGTGACTCCAGTTGCAAGGAATTCAACCGAAATTCAACTGCAGCTTTATATGATGTGCAGCGCCACACAGCATGGCGCAGCGCCGCAGCCCGACAGCAATATGCTTTGTTCAGGATATTATTGCGTTGAAGTGATGGTTTAGCTGGCAGTAGGCCGGGCAGAATTCGTCGGTTACAGTGGCTAGCGAACATGTCAGAATCGAGTATTGCTGACAGTATGGTATGAAGGCAGGATTTACTTTGGGTGTGCTGCAAATGAAGATGGTGCTTGTGCCGAAGAGTACAGAGTGGTGATGACGTCGTTCTGGTCGTCGTCTCCGTCGACATCATCATAACCATCGTCGTCATCATCGTCATCATCATCATCATCATCAGCATCATCGTCATCAACCCGCATTGATGACCATCATCACCATCATCAACATCACCATTAGCATCGTCATCATCATCATCATCATCATTCACAGTCGCCAACGCCATCCTCATTATGTGCTATATGACTAGTGTCATGCCGCCAGTATGCTCAACGACGCCGCTAAGCTAGGCACCCATAGTAATAGAGACTATCTTTGCCCGGCAGTTGTCATGAGACTCTAGTAGGTGTCGTGCTTGTAAACCAGGTGATAGCTTACCTCTTACCTTACGATATTGTACTTGTGACCGCATGGCCATGCCTGTGAAAGCAGTTCCGACACGTTGCTCAGCCTTCGTCGCTGCAGCCCTTTGCATTGTCGGACCAACTGTCATCCTGTAGCAGGCTGTTGGGCTAATATGAGCGCACGTGTATAGTTTTATTTCTGAAACTCCTATGAGGATTGTAGGACTGGTCTTTGCAGAGTTGTTCGGAAGCGCGAGAAGCCTCTCTGAAACGATTGGCAGGGATATAGCACCTAAACCCTAAACCCTAAACCCTAAACCGTAATGGATTGTCATGCAAGAATGTGGGTTCGAGTAAGTGGCACGAGATATGTCGGCGCCTTATTGCGGAATCCTACATAGGGTCTAGGGTTTAGGAAGGGTTTAGGGTTTAGGGTTTTGCATGATGTTTCGCAAGTCACGGAGGCTGGCTCAGGCAATTCCGAATCTTCCTGCATCATTTAACGTTTTTAGTAGTTTGAGCAACAGCTGCGGCCCTTCTCTCCACCGATGATAAACTAGTTGGCAGTAGTAGTTAGCACCTTTAAGAGCCCTCCCAGGAGCTGTACCCTAAAGCCTCAGAACCCAAATACACTCAACACTAAACCCTGAACCCAATGAGGCTGAAGCCGAGAAGGGCAACGGTGCAGGGTTTAGGGGGTAGGATCATTCGGGTTTAGGGTTTAGGATCATCGGGGTTTAGGGTTTAGGATTATTCGGGCCTATAGGGCTTCGGGTCTAGGATCCCTTCAAAAAAAGCCTTTGGAGGAGGGCCAGCTGTGATTCTGCACCTGAAATCTCCATTACAGTTCCTGGTTAGGGTTTAGGGTTTAGGTTTTGGTTTAGGGTTTAGGGTTTAGGGTTTATTGCTAGTTACATGGAAGATGTGCCAGCAACAAAAATGGAAACTGCGTTGGAGTGCAGAGCACAAGTCTACGAATCTGCCAGTCAGCTCACTCGCTTGCGCCACAAGCCTCGCCATGCGGATTGCGATTTGGGAGTTTCAGAAAATTAGGGGTACCTTAATTTTGGGGTCCTTATAATGGGGATCCTATTATTTAGGGTACCATATTAGGGTCCCCTATTTTCGGAACCCCCCATTTGGGTCTCAGTTGTTTGCGCGGGTCTAATCATACTTGCTCCTTGCAGTTGCTCGCCAGAAATGCTCCAACTTATTGCAGTAAGAGTATGTCGGACTCTTGTGTTGTACGGGTGTCTTTCATTATCCTCGTGTTGTCGTCTGACGACGGAGAGGTCGAACATATAGAGTTCTGACTTTTTCTTGGTTAGTTAGTGACAGATAGTGGTGTTGCGTTGTAGTCCCTACAAGTTTAGTGCACCCTCCCAAGACCAAGTCTGATCATTAAGTCGGATATAATATAGGGGCCTGAAAAATTAGAATAGGGTTTTGGGGCCCATTATACTATAATGAGAATAAGGAACCCCCCCCAAATAGTATTGGTAATTACTTAGGCCCCTACATTATGGGACAACCTTCGGCGCTTGTGGCCAAGGGGTTGGGCTTTAACGAGCGCTTCTGCGCACAGTCTTTGGATGACAGACCAAAGAGAGCTCGAGAGCAAAGCAGTCTATCCAAAATGTCTGCATTACGAAAAAAATCTCGGGGCCCTGCTTCGGATCGTGACCCCTCAAGCTCAAAACCCTGAACCCTAAACCACTAAACTCACTAAACCCTAAAACCCTGGACCAAACTCTTCGAGTTTTGGGCTCAGGTGCGAAACTCATTTCTGATATCGTGCCTTTCTCATGTGCACGGGCTGCAATCGCTAAGGGCCCATGTGTACCTGTGCCCATATAGTGTATACGTTGGCCGTAAGCTATCTATATAGGGGCCTCTCTAAAAACCTATAACTATATATATATATATGTTCATACTTATGCACACACATACATTGGCACTAAAACATCTATTAGGAAATACTTCAAGGCCAAAATATCTACTATATACCTGAGGAACAACGCAGGATGCGTTCACGGTATAGGGGTTAGGTGGTTCAGGACATTGCAAGCCTCGTGTAGCGGGTCGGAATAATGAGTATATAACATAACCGTCTACCCTTATTGTATATGTATACAGACATACACGCATACACAGTCCCTCTATATCTACGTTTCTATCTTTCTATCTATCTATCTATCTATCTATCTATCTATGTATCTATCTAACTATCCATCCATCCATCTATCTATATGTATCTACCTGTCTATATCTATCTATATGTCTGTCTATAGATATACCTATACATATACATACCTACGTATATACATATATACATATGTACATATATACATATACACATACACGTACACGTACATATACATATACGTATACATACATACCTGTACATCTACACATATACATATACATATGCATATGTACATATTTATATATGTATGTATACATACATACATACATATATAAATA